TATAATTATAATTACAAATAAATAGATATTTTATTTTAACTAATTAGCAAATAATAATAATTATAATATAATTAATTTTTAAAATTTTTAATTTAATAAGTTTTAAATTTATAATTTATTACTTAAAAAAGTAATATCTTATTTATTATACTAAATTATTATATATGTTATATCAATTTTTTTTTTAATATTAAAGTAAGGTTAAACCTCTAGTCTTTATTAGTATATTAGTTATAGCTAGTACAATTTTTATTATACATTATCTATTACTATATATCTATTTAAATATAAGACTCAAACATCTTTATCTGCAATCTAAACCTATTAGAACTTTGTATTGTATTCCACTTACACCTAATTTAGATTTTTGTTTCTTTATCATTTATATTAGATAATTTGTATATTTCTCTATATCTTACAACTTATTTTTAATAACTTCCAAATTGGTCTACTAGGTTGTTTGCTTCTTTTGAGCTTTTATTTTTGGTTTGCTTAAAAAGTGTTTCTCTAGCATATATCTTAAGCCAGATTCCTGCTACTATTATTAACTTCTTAATTTAGATACTGGTAGCATATATCTCAAGCCAGATATCTGCTGCCATTGCTGGTTTGCAATTTTTCTTAATTTTAGTATTATTTAAATAGATTGTACATTTAATTTGTCTTTTAAGTACTTTTTTTTATAATATAAATAGAACTATGTTTTAGAAATGAATAATTCATTCTCTTTTAGCTATTAGTTGACATTCTGCTTTCTACTTAAATATATATAAACTTATTTTGTATTTGCACTGTCCAATGCCAGTTTGCATCCTTTTATATATACTGGCTTATACAGATATCTGTATAAATCTGCATTTCTACAGATACTTCATGCTTATTTTTAAAATTCACTTTTAATTTAAGTATCTTAATTTTGATTGATACAGAATTTTGTTACTTGTTTCATTATAGACTTCCATATAGGTGTGATTAGAACTCTGGTTTAATATCTTTAGATGTATAGAACAGACTACAACTTCTTTGTATGTATAATTATTTTCTATTTTCAATTATTTTACAATATCAGAGATGCTTCTAATCTTGATAAGGCTAATCTTTTATTACAAGTCTTTTATGTATACACTGCTTCTCTTATGACTCCAGTTTGTATTATCTTGATATCACTTACCCAATCAAGTATTTCACAAGTTAAATACAAAGATGTTGGTACTGCCTATTTTTAGAGAACTTATATGCATAATACTTTGTGTAATAGAATCTTTAGTAATACTACTGTTATATATAATTTCTACATTTTGCAATGTTAGTCTCTTTCCAGAAATTTCTTTTTTTGTTATATATTGCACTTGAACTTAACTATAAGGCTTTATGTTCAATTATAGGCTTCTTATAGGTTATAGAGACTAAAATCTTTTAATTTTACCTTTAGTTAGACTTGAACTGTTGACCTTAATAGAATTTACATCCTATATTAGATTTTTAAAACTTATAAATTGTATTAAATAAATATAATTTTATTATTTTTTTATTTATTTAATTATAAAAAAAAATTTAATTAATTAATATAAAAACTGTATATAATAAATTTTTAATAATTTAATATATGTATATATATTATATTTGTATTATTATATTGTTTTAATTTATATTATTAATAATTTTATTTAAAAAATAAATATTACTAACTGTTTTAATAATTTTATGTGTTAATTTTTAAAAAAAATAAATTAAATTGCTTATTTTTATAATTTTTATTTTAAAAAAATAAAGATACTAAAATTTATATTAAAGTTTTTTATATAAGTTTTATAATTGAGTAGTACTTAATTTAAGTTTTTAATAATTTTAATAAAAACTTTATTATAATTATTTTTTTTTAAAAAAAACTTTTAATTTAAATACTAAAAAAAAAATTGTTAAAAAAAGAAAATCTAACTTTTTTTTAAACTATTGCAAATATATTTGCTTTTTAGTATTTAACATTAATAATAATAATTTATTTTATATAAGATCAGAAATATTATCTTTTGTGTTTTGTTATAATATTTTTTTATAATTTAGTTGTTGATTAAAAAATTATCAAAAAAAGAGTTGATAATTTTGAATTGTATATTAGATATTAAAAAAAAATTAAAATATATTTGTAAACTTTAAACTAAACTTAAATCAAACCTTATTTAAATTCAGATTCGGTTTGAATTCAAAAATTGAAAATTTATATTTAGTTTAAATTTAAAAACCAACAGAATTTATAATTCAAGTTTGAGTTCAAGTTGGAGTTTATCCAAACCAAGAATAAACCAGATCTAAATTTCAAAACACTAATGCTATAATTTTACAATAATATTTTTTATTAAAAATATATATAAATTTTGTTAAAAAATGTTAAAAAGTTGATTTAACCAGGTTATAAAACATTTAATTTTGAATAATCTTAGTTTTAGAATTTTTAAATTTTTGCAAAATTTTCGTACTACATCCTGATTGGTTGATCGGGCATCAACTAATAAATCTCTTTAAACTAGAATCGAACGTAGTGAATTTTTTTTCTATTACAAATCTATTGTTATAAAACCTAAAAATTTGACTGTACCCTCACCTTTGATATTTAAAAAAAATTTTTTTTGACTATATAATATAATATTAAACAACAGGGTTAGGAACGGGCTTTTTTGGAAATTAATTTGGGCTACACCCTCAAAGTGTTGGTTATACATCTAAAAAAAGCCCATTTAGATCCCTAATTAATAATATAGTAAATAAAATTAATACGAAAATGATATGGATATGTTATTACGATAATTTTAGTACTTTATTCACCAGGCATTTTATTATTTACAAAATACGGTAGTACTTTGAAATTCTATTATTGATTCATGAAGCAGTACTTGTCTTTTCATTTATATTAATAAATTTTTTTTTTTGAGATGGAAGCACTTATAACTAAATTCGGTATGTTATAAAAAGATTTATCGTTATACGTATATTATATCATCGGTAATTCATACCGATTGCGAATTAACGAGTTATTTTGCAATTAACAAATAACACATGCATAACAAATATACGTGATCTGCAAAAGTTAAACGTGAGATGTTCAGCAACCTTTTTAAAGATGACACGCATAATGCAAATAACGAATTTTTATGAAATTCTTAATATAGAAAATAACGCAAGAACATGTTTGAAACTTCCAAAATTGTTCTCATTAGAGCAATCTGATAGTTCAAATTATTGCGTTCTAAAAAAATTATATTTTGTATAGGCAAGATTGGAGCCAATGGATACTAGTTTTTGAGGATATATAGGACAAATTCGGTTTGGCAAAAAAACCGCTCTTTACGTTCTAATAAAAAAGTTTCCTTGACTAATTTTACTGCATATTTTCAATTTCCAAACCCTAAATCTTAACAAATTTAAGAAATTCGAAATTGGTTGTCCATCATCACGTGATCCGAAAAATTCGGGATCGCCCTGGCGGATTCTAACGTTAATAAATTAGTCGTCAAATTAATATTTTATTTTCTTTTTGTACTACATAGAAAACCGTCATCACTGCTGCACTGTTGAATCACTGATGATGTTTCAGGGCCGAATAATAAACTATAATTTCTGGATTCAGATTTTCCCTTGGCGGCACTCATATATATTCATAGAAATTCAGATAATCACAAATTTATAATAGCGATAGTGTTCTCATAAGCACTTTGAGAACACATTCGGACATTAGATAGTATATCTGTATATAGTAAAAATTACTACTTCTTACTTGTTATATTATCATACTACAGTATCACATGCTACGATTACTAGGATTGTTAGTGAATTCTAAACTTGATGTATCAGCATAAAATTTTTAAGTTTTAATCTACTGGAATAATTCTGGTTTGTACTAGTCTTGACCTAGAATCCTGTACTAGTATTAACTTAGAATTCTGGGGTTCAGTCTTAAAAATAGTTCTTAACGTCTGCTATTTGGATTCGTAATTTTAGGTAATGCTTTAAAGAATTTTAAAACATACGTAATACATATATACGTAGTATATATCAATTACAATATATACAGTATATATAATTTAATATACGTAAATATATAATACGCATGGTTGGGGTAAAACTGTTTTTATGTTGGAAAAGTATTCCCGGTTTATTTATTTATAAATAATACGTATATAAATGTCATTTTCCCAATAAGGCCATACAAACTTAATTGGTTCTCATAATCGGCCGGGTCAAATTTTACAAAAAAATTTTATATGTTAATTTTATATACGTATACGTATAATTTTTATATACGTATACGTATAATTTTTATGTTATGAGGACCAATTTATTAAGTTTGTATGGCTTAATGTATTTTACAACTATATATCATATATATATTATATATACCTATATGATATATACTTTATATAAATCATTTAATATTTTTCTTTTTTATACATATGTGCTTGGCTTGTGACATTTTTCTCATTTTTCTGTAATAAAGATCAATTAACACCAGGTGGTGGATTAGGCAATAATTTTATGGTACGTAGTCCGATAAATACACCTTTTAAAAAATTCGCATCTCGCCAACAGGTACTGTTTATCATTTAATATATATTTCAAATGTGTTACGTATACATTTTTTATCCAAATGAATGCAAAGCATCTATATATATGTATTTTTTTTAAATGTAAAAAATAGTACGTATAATGACATGAAAGATATATTGTATATGTATATATATATTTTTTAAAGTACGTATAAAAAAAAAAAAATGCAAAAAATTTTTTTAACCAAATCCCATGCTACCCATGAGTTCTTTAAAGGCACCAATATGAGCTAGTCTATGTAATTGTGGAAATTTTACATGAAAGTAACAAAAATACAATTAATTTTTTTTTTTTTTTTTGATTAATTATAATATTCGATACTTTTGTTTTTTTGTTTGATTATTAATTTTTTTTTTTTTTTTTTTATTCCTCGGGATTATTCTTGGCTGCAAGATTTTTCAATTCTTCTAAATCATCTTTGAGATATTCATCTGCTGTTGGAGGAACCATGATCATAATTTGCACATGCTTATGCTTTACCACAAATTGGCGTAGAAAACCGTGAAAAGCTTGACTAAGTTCATCGATATCTGTGAAATCCAAAATTATTTTGGGTGATCTTTCAACGGCCAATTCAAGATCTCGAATTATTTCCTCGCAAAGTTCACGAGTGCGAAGGGTGCGTTGGCCGTAAACGTTTAAGTTAATTTGGCTAACAAGGAATCGATCGTTGCTAAGTTTAGAAGGATCAGAGAAATTTTTCATGGCCTTACGATAATCAAATTCTCGGTCAAGGTTAATTGCACCATGGACCATGGTTCCTTTCCATTCGGGAATGCCTCGCACGCGCATTGCAGTAGTGTCTGATATGATAAAAATAATGTTAATAAACGTAAAATATTTATATTATATCCGATTAAATAAAATTATACATACCACGTTGTTCATATTCTTGACAACCAGAAAGAATTTCAAGATAACCTTCGTTTTTCTGTGTCAATTCACTAGTAATAAAAAGACCGACACCCTGATGACCTCTGTCAATGCCCTTGGAAGTGAATTGAGGACGTGTTAAATGCAAGGCGCATGCGCGTTCTGACACATCTTTGGCTTCCGAAACGATAGCTTCGCGAAGGGAGCCTCGAAGGCCAACACCGCTGTCTGCTACGCAATAATAAAGCTATAATGCATGTAAATTAATTTAATTATTATTATTATTATTATTATTATTATTAGTTTAGATAATAAAATAAATAATAATAATTTTGCATACCTTTTTATTAGCGACTAATAAACCTGTTGTAAAGCAAAATCTTTCTTCTTCCAATTTTGCATGCGCGGATACATTTTCAACCAATTCATTCAACATAAGATGGAATCGTTCTGGTAAATCCTTTTTTTGCCAATTTTTTATTTCCTCATACCAATCATCTCGCTTTTTAGGATTATTTTTCCTGAACACAGCTAATCGACAATCTCTGCTGACCAATTCGAATGCTATCGGGTCATCATGATTGGTGTAAAGAATATCTCGGATGGTTTTTTTCGGCCAGGTAAACGGAATTCTGATGCGTGTAAAGTCGAAAACAACATCATGCACGTGGCCAGACAAGACTATATCGCAAGAGTATTGAATGATACTTGAAATAGATGCAACTTCTACTCTAGCCTTTGGCATGGAAGTAACCGTTATTAAGACTACGTCATCTGGCTTGTAAAGCGGGTCGTAAGTTAAATGTTTGACAACTTCCACAACTTGGTTGGTCGGTTTTATTTGAATATTAATTTCTTTTGTTGGTGCCATTGCCTCAAAAGTTTGTTTTTTTTTGTTTTTTTTTTTTGTTTTTTTTTTGTGGTCCGAATTACTGATTTTTATTTTTAATCCTTTAAATACTGCAACGTTAATAGGATTATTTTTTAAAGTACTTTTTTTTTATTGATTAATTTTTGCAATATGAATATACATAAGATATGGATCGATTACAGTAGAACTGAAATTCAAACAGGAACGCCGTCGTGTAACTGGTAATGCATATATTTCTTCCCAAGATTAAATTAGAAGCTGATTAAAAACACAATGATATATGGTAACATAAATACAATAATTGATATTCATTTGATAATGAAACGACTTAGGGTTTTTCATATGACAATCAACATCGAGTTTCTTGAGCTCTCGTCGATATCTCGTGCTTTATAATGTGTTTTCATTCCATTCTCCAATTTAATAATAGATATAATTGCAAGACGAACAATAGAACAATAGCCAAAAATTCTATTAAGGAAAATTCTTCTGATCCTGTTAATACAAATATGTTTTAATTTCATATGCTCCTTCTTGAATACTTTAAGGTCCTTCTTTATTACACGTGTATAAACCGAATTTATAACTGCGGTATTCCAAGCATTAGGCTCTTTTTTATGGAGAACAATAAGAAATATTTGTATTACAAACAGCAAGCCAAATGGAATCGCCTTCAAGAATACCATACGTAACGGTAAGGAGAGTGTACCTCTAATATTCATATGATTGAGATTTCCCTTTTGTAACCCTTAATTTGATTTTCAAAATTTGATATCCAATAACTATTGTTATTTTTCTTATACGTATGTTATTTATATTATACGTATATTGTGTTCCCGCTAAGCCAAGTTAACATTTCTCCCTTTTAGAAAATTTCCCAAATTTTCATATGAATATAAGCAAAGATTACCCTTATACTGTACTACTATTCTCTATAATAACAAATATCAAATTTTTGGCAATAAACATCAAATCGTTGTTTACGCGTTTACGTAATTCTTTCCTCATTTATTTGATGGCTGCGGATAATGCTCACAAATCAACGTGCATATATTCCTTAAAGTCTTATATACGCATACACCCATTTTTTTAATATATGTAATCACTTTCTCTCTTTTTCCGGAATAAGAAAATAATATCGTATTTCCGAATGAATTTGCCCACCTAATCTATCTAAATTGAATCATTTTAAGTAATTTGTGGCTTATGATAATGCATATGCATTTGTATCAATTATTAAGTTAATGCACCCTTCCTTTCAAAGGGTTCTTTGAATCATTAAATGTTTCTCAAAAGTTTTAATAAAGATTTTTTTTTTTTATTTGATGATTTAAACAAACTTATCGTTATGATTTAAACTTTTAAAATAATAAATGTATAAACTATCGGGTGTGATTCAATGCGACTTTTTATTTGTTCATCTTTTTTGTCTTACAAAATCCATAAATGGTCTCCCATTGTCATTGGTACATTGTTGCATTGATCCTTTTTCAATTAAGTGGCGGAGTAACAGATAGTTTCATGCTTAAGCTTATATCATCAAAACACTTTTCCTTTTATATTTTACATTTACTATACGTATAATACTTTATGTTCTTGGAAAGGTGTTTCCATTTTTTGTGTTTGTTGCAGGTTTATGTATACCAATTAATTTGATCTGGTTGGATAATGCCTTTTTGTTGTCCTGGAAATCTTGTTTCAATAAGCCCTAAATTAGAAACTGTTATTCGAAATTACTATATTTACCTTTATTTTTTCACTAAAGCGAGATCATGTCCTGGTCTTTATACATGAATAGTTTAATTCTTATTAACCAATCGTTATAATTCTAACCACTTTCACTATCTATGATCACTTGCAATAACACTAAAGATGGTCTCTTAATTAATTTTTTTTAGATGTAAAGTGCAGAAACATCGAGATTTTCTAAATTCATCGGATTTACAAAATGAAAAAAAAAGATTTGTTATCTCATAATTTACTAATCGTTGATGAAATACAGCATATCTTTTCTTTTCAAGTTAATTCTGTACGTACGTACCATACGTACATACGTATGTTTGTATACGTACGTACGTATCAATTTTTTATAGTCTTAGTATCAATACTTATTTGATATGTAATTAGTTAACTTCATTGGCTTGGCGGTTTTTATTAATGTATTTGGATTCCGGTATTACACATGGGCTCTATTTACATTACAAGGACGAGAATACAATTAGCCACACATGCAACTTTAATCGTTACTTATGTATTTAATAGCTTCATCCAATTAAGTTATTCTTTAGTTATTTTACCTAAAACTAAAGATATTCTACGTAATAAAATTAATTTCACTAATCTAATATTAATTTTATCTATAATGGTGTAGTATATAAAATTGGTTTACTATATACTCGGGTTTACTTTTATTACTATATAGTTGATTAGTTGATTAATCTATTAATTTATGATTTAATTAATTACTCAATTAGTTTTTTAATTATTTAATTATTTAATTAATTAAAATTTTTTTTATTATACAAAAATAACTTAAAAATTTATTACGTAGTTACAAAATCATTAATAACTTATTATTTTATTAAAATAATTAGTTTGTTTTAAGCAAACTTGTTTTGTTTACAATTTACATATATGTTAAAATTATAAGTTTTTAGTTTTCAAACTTGTAGTTTAATACTACTTAAACAGTCTTTAATCTTTATAATTAAACTTTTAACTATTTCTCTTAACATATTTTTTTATAATTTTAAAAAAAAATTTTTTTAATCAAAACAAGTTTAAAAAAAAGCTTATAAACTTAAAACAATAAAACTATAATATAAGGGTGTAGGTCTCATAGCTTAGTGATTAAGTTCCTATACTTTTCACAGTCAAAGTCAATGGTTCAAGTTTAGCTAGAGGCAAAATTAAAAGATTTTAGTTTCTGTAACCTAATAAGGAGCTTGTAATTGAACATGAAGCCTTGTGGTTAAAAGTCCAAGTACAGTACAATGATAGAAGTAGAAATTCCTGGAAGAAAACCCAATCATAAAGTGAAAGTATTATATATAATAAGCAGTTATTACAGAAGGTTATGGTTATAGAAGGATTACACATATAAGTCTTTTAAGCTAAAGCAATACCAACATCCTTATACCTTTTAATATGGACAGTATCAACATCTCTGCACCCAACTTGTAGGGTACTTGCTTGGAAGGATAATCAATGGATTGTACAAATAAATCTTAATTGGGATCCAAAAAAAGGATTTAATTAAGAGAATAATCTGAAAAGTAATCAAAACTGGAATAATAAGAGAAGTGGTGAACATAAAGATGGACTATGATAAAGGATTGGTCTAAACAAAAATTAGAAACACCTCTGACACAATTAAATAATCTAATTATAAAAGAGAAGATCTTGAAGGTAGGTATATAACTTTCTTATGCAATATAAAAGTACCAAATTAGGTTCTGGTTATACTTATATGGAAGTCTATGATGAACAAGATTAGAGATCAACTAACCAATATGAGATAAGATCTGCAAGGTAGTATGGCATTACTGAGATTAGTGTAACTTCCTGTACATAACCAGAATTATCTTGCAGATATTATCGAATAAGCTAGAAGCTTGCAATATATAGTAATATGATATTACTAGAGTTAGAGGAACTCTCTAGATATAATCAGAATTGTCCTGTCTGTAAGTGCAACAAGTCTCAGTTTCTATCATAAAAGGAAGCATTATGTTGGAGGTCAAATGCAGTATTGAGTTACTGTATGATATTAAGACCTAGAACATCTGCAGAAATGACAGTAGCAGGTTTGGCTTAAAATACAGATTAATCAAAAAGACCAATAATATCAGCAAATCTGACTTGAAATACAAGTTTATTGCAGATCCTAGACCATTATTAGAACACCTTAAGGAAATCAATAATAGGCAAACCAAAGATGAGAAGATCATAAGGATCAGACATACCTGAATAGAACCAATTTAGCAGTTTAATGGTTAGCCCTGACCA